GTCCGTCGCGGAGAACAGACGGGCCACTACATCATCTTATGCCAACATCGCAAGGCCAGATGGTCTTGGCTGACGCGACGAATCAGAACACACTCAGCGTATTTATCGATTTTTCCTGTACGTTTAGATTTTACGGCGGAACCCTGTGCACACACACAAACTGTTTCTGCTACTGTTCTGTGAGTATGTCTCTGAGGATGAATCCGCGACGGATTTCGAAACGTCAGGCAAATAAACATAGTGTCCCAGCGATCGAGTTGTCTTCTACTTCTCAGTAAATGTTCAGTCAGTCCTTCGTCTAAACCAGCAGTTTTCTATATTGTATAAATTCCAATAGAAAGTTTTGTTCTGCCCCAAAAATGAGCCGCATTTGAATAGTTTGCATGCCAAACCAGTCACAGCCTGCCAGTCAAGTTCTGAATGCTTACAATAAAGGCCGTCATCTCCGCAGAAGCCTTCAGACGCAGCCGCGCTCCTGGTGACTGTCAGTAGTTTTTTTTTTATCAATACCCTATCGTCGTGGTTATTAATGCGTGTGCAATTCTCCAGGCAACGTTTTTAGGACTCTTCTTTTCGTACTTTTCGCTCAACCACCTTTTGCACAATAATTCTGCCCTCTAGTCATATTCTACCATCCTACTACTGTCGCCATCAACCTATTCAATTAAGTACTGGTAAGCAAACTTTCGAAATTTGCACTGCTACTCAAATAGAAAGGTATTAGAATTACTTGTACCTACTTTTTACGGCTGCAATCATGCCTGATCTAGTTGGTCTCGATTACGTCGCAGATTGTACCTCTCCACGCCTGACAATCCGTAGCAGCAGACCTGGACACTCGGTCGAGTTCACAGGCTACTCGCCTGCACCGTTGGACTAGAGTGGCGGAGCGCGTCGGTTCCCGTGGACGCAGTAGCATGGATCATAGTACTGTAATCGAAAATAGTTTCTTGGGAATTGTGAGTACGGACAAGTCTCCAACAGCCGCTCGGAATGTTTGATCGAGGCTGTCCTCTCTAGTGTTTTGGCTCCAGAGCCTAACCACAGAACAACGGTAACCAGCGAATTTATTTAATGGTGGTTCGCCATCGCCATGTCACAATGCCGTCATCCGGCTTTGCGGCTTTTTATGAGGCTTTTGACTTACCAGACCTCAGCCCGTCGCACCCCGGTAGCACTGTCGCTGCCTGTGCG